AGTCAAAATATTGGGGGGGATGATTCAATGGACCATCCCCCCCTTGTCAAATATTGGGGGGGGGGATATATCCCCTCCATCCCCCCCGGGATCTACGCCTATGGGCCTGATTATAATACAGTATAAAAGTGTATAGGAAATTTCAGTGGGTTTCGAGTCTTAATATTCGACATTTCGGTTTTAAATTTTACAGAATAGCTCAATAACAAATGACAGGATATAGTATTAAAACCAATTCATAATAATGAATGAAACTTATGACAAAACATAGAAAAGAGACTTGTCGATAAATTACAGTACATCAAAATCACGAGATAAACCGACGCAAACAAGTAGAACAAAAACGTCGGAAAACGAACCCTAACTCGCGAAATGGAATCGTCCAACATTTTTGATCAGTATCTTAAACCACTCGTCAGCAACGCGAAGAGATTATAATCCCCAACCACGCGTTGTAGACGGGTATATATACGCGTTGCTTTATTTTGCGAGGCTCCCCTATTCTGTAGTACAGAATAATACAATCAAGATGTCACTTGCTTCTAGGAGACGAAACCTAAGCTCCCAATACCTATTTGGCATGGCTACATGGTGTTTCCTCAGTTGTGTCTCACTGCATCATGAATCCGGTGGACACATCCAGAAATTTACGGAGCTTGCATGCCCTGAAGTATGTTCCTGTGCTTCACATGGTCTCGTCAATTGTTCATACCGGAATCTCACTATTACTCCAGATAAGAACAAACTGCCTGTAGATGCTAGTGTTTACTTGCTGAAAGACAATAGTATCAGTGCCCTAAGTGGCTATAGCTTTAATACAACCCCCAATTTGACCTTTCTCGACCTCTCCCAAAACATACTGATTTCCATCGATGAGAATGCTTTTGCTGGACTTGTTCGACTGCAGGTGTTGAATATTGCAGTTCAAAAAACCATTAAAAAAATCAGCAGAAAGTGGTTCAACGGGCTCACTCAGCTTACAGTCGGTAGGTTGACGTTCATTAAAGCTGAAGCAATCGACGATTACGCTTTTTCTGATAACTCAGATATAGAAGAGATTCATTTGGATTCTAATGTTCTGAAGGATATACCAAGTCATTTATTTCAACACCTTCCTAAGTTAAAGACCATTCAGTTATGTTGTAACCTTCTCACAGAAATTGATGGTGAACCTTTCTTTGGATCAAACCATGTTGAAGAAATACAATTATATTCAAATAGCATCAATAAGCTCAATGAAAATGCTTTTAAAAGCATGAAGAATATATCTCTTATTAATTTAAATGACAACCAATTATCCTCAGACTACATCCCTATCCAAACATTCAGAGGATTAAAACGCTTAACTAAACTCTATCTGTATACAAACAATTTAAAAACCATAAAAAAAGAATGGTTTCAGGACTTGACATCATTAGAAATACTTGATGCTAGTTTCAACAGTGTCACAACATTGGATGATAATGTGTTTAAGAACTGCTTAAACCTGAAAGTCATCGTTTTGAGCCACAACTTACTCAATAAAGTTCCCAGCACGCTGTTCCGTGGACTACCAAATCTGCTGACTGTTACTTGCTCCCACAACCAAATTGACAACATTGGTGATGATGCTTTCCAAGGTTCAAATCAAATCAGCTCGCTGCTATTTGACAACAATGTCTTCAAAACTGTTTCCAAATCATTTGGTCTACAACACTTACATAATTTAGAAGATATCTCTTTCTACACAAATCCGTTTCAATGCAACTGCGATCTAGTATGGTTCATCAGCTGGCTCCAGTCCAATGACGTCAGACCGTACGTGTACAATTTTGATGATGTGATCTGTAATGGTCCGCCAAAGTTAGCCCTTCGTCCACTCTTGGATTTGGATCTTATAGATTCAATCAGCTGTAGTTCCCATGGGGTGGTCATTATTGTTTCAATTGCAGGTGTACTGGTTATAATTGCAAGTATACTATATTACTTTCGCTGGGATATAAGGTAATAAGACCTTTTTTAAAAAGTAGCAAACCTCGATATTCATAATTTAATGTGGCCCAAAATTATTCTTAAAATCTCTCTATTTTGAAAATGCAAATATTATTGGAATTTAATAAAGAAAAATGTTTATTGATTTTTAAAATTCTAATTATTATTATTAATTCAATTTATAATTGTTTTATAAACTACTTGTTGCTTAGTTAAATAGTGTACTATTATCTGGTTTATTATTTTAAATGTATGTGAACATATATGTTCTTTCGTTTAAAGTGCACAATAAGAATGTGTCTTGTATACCACTGGGTTAACATGTATAAACATACATTCATTGTTATCAACACATTCCTGTTTATGGTACAATCTCCCGACCGGATTTTGACTATCAACAATCATTTCTAAACTGGATGTCATTAATTACATTATGAATACAATTTTCTTTGATAATCAGATATTTACATCAAAGAAGAAAACTTCGCAAACAATACCAACAGCTAAATGAAGACATTGATGAACCACCAAACATGCAGGGCAACATCTTTGATGCATTCATTTCTTACAGCAGTAAAGACTGCAAATGGGTCTCAAATGTGCTACATCCTACGCTTGAAAATGACCCATACAATTTTCGGCTGTGCATCGACTACCGTGATTTCATGCCGGGAAATTCCATTGTCGACAACATCGCACGAGCCATTAGTTCCAGTCGTAAGACAATCATGATCCTGACAAAAAACTTTCTGAGGAGTCAGTGGTGTTACTTTGAGCTCGAGATGGCTAGGCGGCGTTTGTTGGAGAACAGCGAAGATCTCTTTATCGTCGTGCTTTTGGAGAAGATTACTACAAAGGATATACCGCTGAAGTTGCAACAAGTCCTACGTAAGAAATCTTACATCAGATGGCCTGAGGACGAAACTGCTCGGCGGCTGTTTTGGACCAAGCTTGAAACAGAACTACGATCGCCTAATACTATTAACTGACTTCTCTACTATATTAGAAGTCTACAATAATTTGAATAAAATTGAGTTCAAAATATATTCTAAAATGTGAAATAAAAAAACCAGTGTTTATTGTTGAAATTGTATTTAAAGATACGCAAAATCAATAGAAGTAACAAAAATAAAATGTTATCATTTAAAGTACAGAGTTGTACTGCACAAACCTGAGTGGTTGGTCAAGAGATTCTTTTGTGCTGACCCCTGTTCAAAACCCAGCAAGCGTTGGGTTTATTTGGAGTCTAATAGCTCAGCTGCTCGAATAATACTCATATGAGTTAGGCAAGACATGGGGCAATGCTCCTTGCTTTAGATTGAAAATTTATGCACAAAATATAATGTATGTAGTTTAGCCTGAGCAAGCATTTAAAGTGCGGTACCTTATGGCTACATAAAAAGTTAGTAAGAATCAGCATTAAAATGTCTCTGTGTACAATAATTTAGCTTAGGTCCGTTCATAGTTTATGAAGTTTTTCTATCAAGGCGTATAGAACTGCAAGAGGTCCGACTGCCCTTATTTTGTATGCAGGCAATGGAACGTTAAAAGGTACTACTACAAAGGGGCGTGTCCCTTCTTATTTTGTATGCAGGCAATGGAGCGTTAAAAGGTACTACTAGAAAGGGGCGTGTCCCCCCCCCCAAAAAAAAAACGCAGTACGCATTCGTATCGAACGTCTGCTGCGTTTCAAAACTCTAGAATACATTCTAGACGTGCAGCATGCGTTCGATACGAACGCCTTTTACGTTCTTTTGAAGGACACACTCCTTCGTGGAAGTACTTTTTGAGATAGGGTTGTGTTCCAGCGAAACCATGCAGTCGGACCTCAGCAGTTCTATACTCTTTGTTTCAGAGTTTACTTTTTTCTTGCATTTTGTTTATAAAGAAAATGTTGCAATACATTAAATTATTCTAGTGAGAGACAGATTAAGAAACAATTAAGTTTTCACTTTATTTAGATGTATGTCCAGGCTATCAAAATTTATTTGACAATAAATGCGACATACCTAAATATGTTTTTTATGACATCGCATCATACAACATTTATTTGCCAAAGAAAATGGGATGGTCTTAACAGAGCTTTAATATGTATGTCAACCAATTAAAGAACCTATGAAAAATATATAAAAACGGTATTATATATATGCATTTTCTATAATTGAAAAACTAATAAGTTACTGTAAATTATTATATAAAAAGGCAATTGCAATGCTTATTAGCTCTGGGAAAAAAAGCACATGATATCTAGTTAACTTTCGATTAATTAGTTTCCTCATATTTTCAATTAAGTTCAAAAGTAATTTATACATTTCTCAGTTGTTTCTTGATGAGATAAGTTTCATTGAGACCTTCGTTTCATTTTCTGTTCATTTTTTGCAACGCAACAAAATGCAATTCAAAGCGTATGTGTATTTGTTAGTGCTATCCATTTTATGATTTATAGGATATTTGTGTTGGTCTCTCAGAGAATATAACGCTTTGTTTTAACAAAAGGATTGTCATTAAAAGAAAGTGATTAATCTTTTTCTAGTAAATTGTTGTTCGTATGAATTAGTGACATGAAAAGATAATATCTAAGCTTCATTTGAGAAAGTAACATAACACATATCAAGCATTTAAAAAAAAAACAGAGCATTCATAATCAATGTTTTCATTCAAGATAAAAATGATTAAGAAAGTGAAACATTTGAATCAACATAGTGTTAGGTTTACTACTTGGGGAATGCCAAAAACCAATTGAATACAGACAGAGACACATCAACAACATTAAAATTAATCTGGACACTGATTTTTAGCATGGAGCTGGTAAGATTAATCATTGTTCTGTTGTTTATGAATAGATATGTACATTTATTGTGCTACCAGCATAATCCGTTGTTGTTAAACACAACGTCATCGCTAGAAATTCTTCGATGCCCGGTGGAATGTTCATGCACCTACTGCCTTGTATTCTACAACGGAACAGATGATATTAGATACCGTCATCAAGTGAACTGCTCACAACGCAACTTGACACATATTCCTGATTCGATTCAGTTACCAACTGATGCTGAGGTTTATTTTCTGCAGAAAAACAATATCACTGAATTAACTCATAATTCTTTTTCGACAACACCAAATCTGACAATTCTTGATCTCTCTTACAATCTTCTGAAATCTGAGAGTATCAGCCAAAATGCTTTCAATGGTTTAAATAACATACAGCAATTATACTTGGATGGAAATCAATTTAATTTTCTCAAAGGTAAATGGTGTCAGTACTTGCCGTCAGTAGAAATCCTCAGCTTTCGGTTTTGTCAAATACGGTTTGTAAATATAAATGATTTGGATGGCTGTGTAAATTTACGACATATTGATTTCTTTAATAATAAACTTACTGGAACACCTCATACTGATTGGTATAAATTTCACAAACTCGGAAGCATCAATTTTGAGAAAAATCGGTTTAAAACTTTGAATTTGGGCAAGAATTTATCAACAACTATTGAGAGCCTTGATGTGTCTAGAAATACAATATACAGTCTGGATGAAATAACTTTACAAACTTTCTCACCAAACCTAAAATATCTGAATTTAGGCAATAACGGATTGGACAATCGTTTGTCAAAGAGGAATCCCTTTAAAGGATTATATGCACTGGAAGTATTACACTTTGACAACAACAATCTTGGTAAAATTAAAAATCTGTTGCTTATGGACTTAGTGAAGTTGAAAAATTGTTCAATTTCCAATTCGGCAATCTTCATAATCGAAGAGCAGAGTTTTGTCAATTGCATTAGTCTCAGATTTATTGACTTATCTGGTAATGATATCACAAGTTTGCCTTCAAAACTATTCAGTGGACTTGAAAGCTTAAATTCTGTCAATCTACAGAGGAACTTAATCATAAGACTTCCAGAACATGCTTTTCATGGATCCTGGTTATTAGAAAACATAATCATGGCTGACAACAACTTATCTGCAATCAATGAGAACGTAGGCTTGCAGAAATTAAAGAATCTGAAGCAGCTAAACATCCAATCAAATCCTTTGTTATGTAATTGTGATTTGGTTTGGTTTCGACACTGGGTAAATGATACAAATGTTACCATACAGAATTTGGATGCACTCAAATGCAGAGTAAATTCAAACATCACCATCCATCTATTGGAATTTGATGCAGACTCATTATACTGCTTGTCTCTTATTATCACAGTTGTCATTCCATCCTGCATAGTTCTCCTCATCATCATAATTGGTGCAGGAATCTGGTACATTTTCTATTGGGATTTCAGGTAATTTTCGTTTCCCTTTTGTGGGTTTCCACGAATGAGCATCCACTTTTGTGTCAGGCCTACATTGTATTATCTCACACATCATTAAACTTTTCTTTCTTTCTTTTATTGTTTATCTTGGGGGACTGCTCATGGATAAAATCCCTGGTCCTCCGCAGATCCCAGAAAAGAAAATAACAAAGTGAAAAACATCTCATTAAAACAGAAAACATTGCAACACAAAAAGCTGTACTACTCCCTATTTTTTTTTTAGAAAGAATCTCAAAATGCCATCTTTAAAAGCATTGTTCTTTAAAAGTAAATTTGTTTATAAAAGATAGCGATTATAGCCTAAAATGCATGAAACTAAAGTGAATTCTGAACTGATATTTTATGGGTTTCATATTACTTTCTATACATCTTTAAAAGCATTGTTCTTTAAAAGTAAATTTGTTTATAAAAGATAGCGATTATAGCCTAAAATGCATTAAACTAAAGTGAATTCTGAACTGATATTTTATGGGTTTCATATTACTTTCTATACAAAAATTATCTATTGTACGACTGTGTGCATTTGACGACGACCATAATTTCTCCAAATTCCCAACGGTTACGGGCCTGGCTTGACACTTCACATCAAAGGGCCTGTTAATTAATCTTGCACAGCTTCCTCATCATCATCATCTTCTTCATCATCATAATTATTAATTGTCCATAGCAAAGTAGGGAAAAACTGCATTCAGAGTGATATTCAATAATAGAAGTCTCATAATGTAAGAAGTCTAGGAAACAAAATCTTTTCAAAAGAGCCAAAGACTCCCCCACCCCATATGTAAAATTTGTCTTCCAGCGACAAAACATGCTAGCTCTCTTCTCATGACCCTCCCACCATGGGAACCCATCTGTGCGATAGTCAGGGTAAACTCCGGGCTTTATATGTATTTAAGAGAAGTGTTTAAAAAAGATATATTTACAAATATCAGGAATAAATATACAGATAAAGGCATGGTTTTTCTTGTCAGTTGACTAGGTAGTTTAGTGAAGAAATGAATATAGGCCCTAGGCAAGTGTATAATGGAACCTTTAGTCTGCAAAAGCTCACTGTGTGTAGTATTTGAGCTAATACACATCTAGATGTGTATAAGAGACAGATCATGAACTCTCGAAAATCAGTATTGTTTGGTAGCAATTCAACATGGACCAAGAAAAACTCGGATGACATGTTTGACGTTACTATGGGAAGCTTCGACGGGGCCGAAATATGCGAACTTGTCGGATCCTTCGTCCTCTCCTCCCTCATCCCAACACTCGGCAAAACCAACGTCGGTCTCTACCGAGATGATGGCCTCGCCGTCATGAACAGTCTATCACCAAGGCAATGCGACAAAATGAAGAAAACTATTATATCCATCTACCACGCATTCGACCTCCGTATCACCATACAGGCGAACATCCACACCACCAACTTCCTCGATGTTACACTCAGCCTCGTGTTCGGAGATGCTGGTGTGCTTTCGTGCGTACTGGATCGCATCTGTTAACAATTTCTTAGTGATGGATGGGTAGAATTCCACGATGTCAAAGGAGATGAATGTGCTGCTTGATTTGTATGGGATGTGTTTGAACCATTCTGTGACAGCAGCGGTGTTTTTCCATTGGTTCATTTGGGTTTTGTGAGCAGGTCACGGTTTATCCGGTCGAGGATGGTCTTGCTTACGAGTCCGGTTTCTGATTTTGATGGGTTTATGAGTCTACAGCTTGGTTTATTTTGGAAGTTTTCTTTATGATCTTTGAGTCTATCACCAAAGCAATGCGACAAAATGAAAACTATTATATCCATCTTCCACGCATTCGACCACCGTATCACCATACAGGCGAACATCCACACCACCAACTTCCTCGATGTTACACTCAGCCTAAAAAACGGGTCCTTCAAGCCTTACAGCAAACCAAACAACCAACTACTCTACGTCAACACCAAATCCAACCATCCCCCATCTATCCTGAACCAAATTCCCGCATCCATTAACAGACCCATATCCAGTATATCGGATTCCACTGAATCATTTCATCAAGCCGCCCCCGACTACGAACAAGCTCTGCAAAACAGCGGATTCCAGCACAAAATGGAATACCAGCCTCCACAACCAAAATCCAAAAAAAGTAATAGAAGCAGACAAATAATCTGGTACAACCCACCATTCAGCAAAGGAGTTAAAACCAACATCGGAAAATCATTCCTTAACCTAGTAAAGAAACATTTTCCGAGTAGCAACATTTTGCACAAGCTGTTCAACAAGAACAATGTTAAAGTCAGCTATAGCTGCTCAAGAAACATGGGCAGTATAATCAGAGCCCACAACAAACAGCTTCTGGTTGCTAAGCAACAACAGTCAGATAAACTCTGCAATTGCAGGAAAAAAGATGAATGTCCACTCTCTGGAAATTGCCTCACCTCATCCATCATCTACAAGCCACTGTCCACTCAAATGATGACACAAAATGCTACATCGGGCTCACCGACACACCGTTCAAAACCCGATACACAAACCACAAATACACTTTTAACACCCCCAAACACAGAAACAGCAATGTACTCTCCAAATACGTATGGAAATTAAAAGACAGCAACACACCCTACAATATCAAATGGTCTATTATCGACAGAGCATCGGCTTACTCTTCAAAAACAAAACGCTGCAACCTATGCATAACCGAAAAACTTCACATGATATATTCAGACAAACAGTCAATACTAAACAAAAGAACCGAGCTATTGTCTAAATGCAGGCACAACAACAAATACTTACTTAAAAACAATTAACTCATTTGCATTTTCACCTGCCTTAGAATTCATA